GCATCGCTTCTAGTAACAAGTGCCTTACTAGTAGTAACAAGAAGCTATTAGAAACAATAAGCTACTAGGAACAACCCTTCCTGCATGGGAACTGTGGTCGTCCCGTGCCACACTCCCGTGCCTAATCATGTTGAACATGCCCATCACAAGAAGTATGCAGCACAACATGAAGTCGTGTATAAAATTGTATCATTACCGGAACAACATGGCTGATTTACATTGGTTCGTTGACCGAAAACCAAAGAGTTCAAACTCTTCCTGACTCTGTAGGAAGGGCCATAGCCAGTCTTCCCGCGAGGATCAGCCCAAAGAAGGTCGACAATCAAACGTTGCACCTGAGTGGGCAAACCGCACCACGCGCGCGCCCGCGCGGCACTCGGTCCGTCAAGGTCTCATGATGTCATCCCGTGTGAGCTACGAGTGCTGTAAATCTATGGATGAACGGAAACTGCTTCGGAAACTGCTGCTATTTGCTAAACCAAGTCCAGAAGACTTGACATTGACATTGAAACTGTCATTCTATATGATATAGGGTGACTCATGTCATCATGACTCAACAAGAGTCCTTTGCCTCCTTTGTTCATCTCCACATCTGCAGGTTCTTGGAGCTCCCACTCCACCAATTGGATCCAATTGGAATGACTGCAATTCTAGGTAACATGTAAAACTTAAGTGGGCTGAGATAAACATATTTTTCCAAACTTCCCTTACAACACCCCTTATCTCCTTTGACCCAATAATTTCCTTTGTGATGCTGGCGCAGCCACCGCACCCATCCGCACACTGCCACCCCTACGCCTCTGCTTCCTCCTCAGGTAGCTCCTCGAGTGCCTGGAGATCCGTGGCGGGGTCGCTGCCCCGCGGCAGCCGGGCGATCTCCTCCAAGGTCAGCTCGGCATCACGGGGCGGCAGGGAGACGTTGTCCTAGGGGCTTGAAGGAACTTGTTTTGGACCGGAAGAGTGCGTTTGGTATGAAAGAAGCAAACCTCACATCTTCTTGTAAGCTGGCGTGGTTCTGAGATGTTTGGGCTGTTTGGAGTTCCTGGCCATAAAGGAAGCAATGGAAACCTCCCTCGACTCCATTCTCCCTGATTACAAGAATTCCACTTCCCAGCTGAGCTTCTGGATTGTATCCCAAGAGCGAGAGGTTCTGGCCACCGCCACGACGACCGCTATTCTCCATCGCTGCGTAGCCTGTACCCATGCCTCCCGCATCGTTGAACTGCAGCCTGCAAAGCGGTCGAGAGGTACTTGGAGGTCCTTAAGTATAACAAGATCAAAAGAAACAATCTGCAAGCCTTCGAAGAAACCAAACAAAAAAGCAAAACGCACCAACCTCCTCCCCCCTTACTCAAGAAGCCTCTGACACTCTCCAGCTTCCCACATCTTCCCACCCAATCACCATCATCCCCTCCTGGGGTCTGGCCCAGGCAGCCCAGCGTGCACCACAAAGACCTCCTCGTTGACCACATGCGCCAGCGGCAGCCACCGGAACGCCGTGGCGAAGGCCGCGAAGAGCGTCTCCCCGGCGGCGCCGTAGCGGTCGCGCAGCTCGGCCGCGAAGCCGTACCTGGGGCGGTTCCCGAGCTCGGCGCCGTGCCCCGAGCGGAGTGGAATGACGGGAGGGCGAGCGCGGAGTGCTTGGAGACGGTGAAAAAAGGAAGTGGAAGAGAGTTGCTGTTGAAACGACTATCATAAGCGACCTGATCTTTCCTGAAACTTCCTTGCGTGAAGAAGAACTGCAGAAAACATATTCGTGCTTTGCTATTTGCTCCACAGTGCAGCGAGTGGAAGTCAATGGCTATAGGCTACAGAGTTCGATGATGTTGAGATGTTTGGATCGTGTATGCTTGTTGAGTGAGCAAGTGGCTCAAGCCAAAGAAAATAGACCCACACATTCCTAAAACCCTCATCCTGAAGCCTTCGTTGCCGAGGAACCTCAAGTTCAAATCTGCGGCCTCGTGGTTCCCTCGATTCATCAGGACTGCTCTGGGGTAGCGCAACTTCAGCGCAAAAAGCAGCAGAATGACTTCCAAGGAGTAGGCACCTGGCACAAGAGGTGCCAAGGAAACTAAGGAAACCTTTCTTCGAATCACCTCCGTGTACAAGTAGCGTGCGGAGTGGTATAGACCCTCTTGGTGAACAACAACTGCACCCACCCATAAGTATTATGTTGACTGACTTATAACTTGTTGCTTCTTCCAACCAGATCCAAGAGCCATCAAAAGCCTCCTGCCTTGGTCCCCTCCCGGTGCCTCGATCCACAAAGTCCCCATTGAAGAGATAGGGATTGGCTTCGCTGGGCCTCCCAGTGGCCTCGAAAATCCGCAAGAGGTCGAAGAACTGACCATGTAGGTCGCCAACCACCACGACCTGGAGCCGTGCATCTACTAGCGTGGCACTTGTTTCTAATAGCTTCTTGTTACTACTAGTAAGGCACCTGTTACTACTAGCGATGCACTTGTTTCTACTAGCTTCTTGTTACCATGTAGGTCGCCAACCACCACGACCTGGAGCCGTGCATTGTGGTGGAGCAGTCGTCTGGCACAAAATCGTTCAGTTCGCTCATTCTTCGCTCATTCTTCTAAGGTTGCACCTAGGTCCTGGGTCCACTTCAAATTGAGGGTTCGGCATTTGCTCAATTGCAAAAGTGCTTTAAAAGTCGTTCAAGCAGCAGGATGGCACATTTTGTTCTAGCCTTCTAGACTCAATGGTTTGCATACAATCGCAGTGTCTCATATTCTAATTATGTATATACATTTATGTGCTTGCCTTCCTTCCTAAAATTGAAGCAACTGGCTTGTTCACCCTGCACTGTCTGGCTTGCGCCCACCTGATCCACATGAACTTCTTGCAGTGTTTGCTCTTGTTGAAAGATCTCCGTCGCATCCTTCACCAAGGATATAGCATCCTGAAACAAGCTTAATTAGCTGGGTTTGACCGTCCTTTCCTCTCTAAAGACTACTGACTACTGGCAAAAACTCAAAGGATGCAATAAGCCCACTACACCCCGGCCCTCTGCGTTGATGCACAAACCAACATCCCCTGATCCTCCAAGGAGAACACTGCTCCGCCAGCATGTGTCTTCAACGCCCGCAGGAGGTCTTCCAGAAACGCATCATCCACCGATCCCTCGTAGTGCAGTACCCCCGCAACGGCCGCCGCAGGTGCAGAGATGGCTTGTCCTCTTGCAGGCCCAGGCCTTTTGATGAAGTAAGAGATCCGAAACTCATGGACACAGTCAGATTCTGCTGATCATTGCTGATCCTATTGGTGCTGTAGGACTTCGTATTTCCTTTCAGCAAAAGGAAAGGAAACCTTGTAGTGCAAGCACAGCTATGTCATAGGGTAAGGGATCAAAATAAAAATAAAAATAGAATCAAAAAAATGTATTCAACGGGGATCAATAAAAAATAAAAAGGTAATCAAAAAAGAATATTCTAGCCCACTGAGGATGGTTGGGGTAGTAGAGGAGAGTGTACCTCCCCAGGAGCTCCCTCCTAGTAGGGAGCTATTTCCACTGGTGAACCACTTTTCGAGTAGGGCTACTCAATGACTGGACGGCAACCTTATCGTTGGGTACCTACTTTCTTACCAGGGAGCTGCCTCTAGTAGAAAGCAATCAAGCCTCTATTTGCGCAAGCAGGGGACCAGGAGATCGACGGACGAGCGCCGTAGGAGAGCAAAAGACCAGCGGACCAGGAGACAGAAGGACTAGGATACCAGGGGACCAGCGGACCACAGGACCAGAGGACCAGGAGACCGGAGGACTAGGGGACCAGTGGACTAAAGGACCAAGGGACCAGGGGACCAAAGGACCAGTGGACCAGAGGACCAAGGGACCACATTACCAGAGGACCCGCAGACCACAAGGCCAGGAGAGCAGCAGAAGAGGCCTATCAAGGAATATTTTTTTTTTGATTCGCTTTTTATTTTTTTTTGATCCTGTTTTTTTTTTTTGATGCTCTTTTTATTTTTTTTGATACCTATGCCTATGTCATAGGTCCATGGAAGGGTTCCCAAATCATTTGCCACTTGGGGCCCGAACATTACCAATTTGTGTCCGGTAGTTTTTCAGGCACAACCTCTCCTTCTGGCACAGCTTCTCTTGGAACGGGCTCCAGCAGCTCTGCTGGCTGCACAAACCTTGGCAGGTCGCTTGGATTGGAACAACGTGATTGGAAGACTTCGCGAAATCGACGCCAGGCCCAACAATTGATCTCTGCCTTTGCAACAACAGCTTGATGTGTCAGGTTTCCATGATGTCTCACGAATTTGCAGGGATTTCATGCGCGATGGGCCAAAGCTCAAAGCCCACTCAACTCATTTTCGGTCACTGGTTCACTCCCCTGAGTTTGGGACTCCACACTCACCGGCAGCTCTGCCGGGGAGTTCCTCATGTCACCCTGATGAAGGCTTTGGAACTTCCCGCCTCAGGCACGACCGGTGACCACCACTGGGTGACGCGGGGATGACGTGTGACGGCAGTTGATGACGTGTAGGGACCAAGATACGTTTCACATTAATTTCGCACACGATGACGCAGGATCGGATCCTGGAAGTTTGAAAGAATTGTCTATCTTGAATATGCCGGTCATTGGTAGTCAATGCAGCTCTCCCTGTAGGCCCACCGAAACCCGAAACAAAACATTCTGACCGAATCAGGGGAAGAAATATGAAGAAATGAAGGGCTCCAAAGAAGCAACAAATACATACAGGTATTTCTTGGCGCAGGTTTTTTTGAAACTGGTCCGACTGATTGACAAGCCATTACGCCAGTTTCCCCTGCATCGGTTGGCTGGTCAAGGGGCTATAGTTGAGTGAACAGGGCCAAAGAAAAAAGACGCTGCAAACACTGCAGATCGTTTAGACATCCATCTCAGTCCGTATAAACAGAACTATAACATGAACTAACGCATCCATCTCGCTCGCTGACCTTTCTCGTTGACCTAACTTGGGTGCTTGAAGCCTGGACGCTTCAGCTCCACATCCATTTCAGCAGGGCGATTTCACGAAGAAGCCGACTCTCGACGTCTCAAGGCTATCTTCGCTCCGTCTCAAATGGATCAACATTCCTGGGGCCTTCGGCAGTGTATGACTGTATGATCACAAAAACAAAAGCACATGCAGAAGGTCCTCAAACTGCTGCACCTGCATGGGTTGAGGCCCTGAGGCACTTCAAATTCGGGCGAGCACCTCCTCCGGTCCCCGTGGGACCTTCCACGGTCTGCGTTGGCATCGCACTTCGTCAAAGCAGGTGAGCTCCGTATGGGAAGCGATGGAGAAGCCACAGGGGGGGCGCTCTGCCAGTCATGTCGGTGTCGGACACCGATCTCGTGGCACATCGGTCCACACGGACTGCCAGGGACCAACGGTTCGGTGAGGCAGGGATTTGGTAGCTGAGGTGGTGGCAGCATGATCGACTTCATAATTGAACTCAATGATGCTGTCGCAACAGCAGCAAAAAGACCGCTATCTCACCGAACCTCTCAAAGCCTCTTTCGTGCAGATGTGCAAATCGGGAGCTTGACAAGCTCACCACGCGGAAATCATTCATCCCTGCCTGCGCAGGTCAAGCAAAGAGTTTTTGGGCGCTGCACGACCTGCTGGGCCACGGTACACATCCAAGAAGCGAAAACAAAAACCAACCAACTTGTCGTTCCTAGGCCCCAGGTCTGCAAGACAAGCCGTTTGATCCGAAAGAAGTCCAAACAAACTGAGCAGTCTTACGCCAAATGCACCGCCGAGCAGTCTGGTAGTAGTCAGCTTGTGGGTCGCAAAATGCTTGGGATATCTTCAACTCCTGTCCTCCCTCAGGTCCATACGCCTTCCTGTGCTGGCAAAACATGTTACTGTAAGTATTTTTTCAAGGACGAACACTTGACGCACATTGTTGCCACGGTACTTGGAGTAACATTCACTTGCTCAGGTAGCACAGGCAGCCTGTCGGTATCGAATGTGAATATCCTGAAACAAGACACTGGAGTTGTCCAGGATCTTGTCGTTCAGCAAGTCCAAGATGTCCTGAATAAAAACCAAGAGTTTCAAACTCCACCGTCCTCCCACATTTTGCACTGAGGTGTATGAGCGAATAGCAGCCGCTAATCTCAAATCACCAACAAAATGCCATACGAGTAGGGTTCATCAATACTATATATATGTAATAGACATGGATTCCGCAAACATATCTCATGTTGCCCAATGTCCCTTCGCCGGGAGTCATGGAAGTGCCAAGCCGAGACATCCCTTCCGTTGATGCTTTTCACCTCAAAGCCATGTCTCGAACTTGGAATGCGACATAACGGCGGTCTTCCCAAGTGCTAATCAAATGTATGTCTTTTAGGGAACAAGTGCTGACAAGCGAATATATAGAGAGAGATAGTTCTTGAAGCCAATTGCACTTTTTTCCTGACAACTTTTCTGATTCCCGTTCCTGCGATTTCTCAGAGAGTCTTTTCTGTTTTCTCCTTCCCCGAAACCAAGTCATGGCAATGAAAGAGTGGTGAGAACAACCGCATTTGATCCGTGTTTTGTCTGAGCCCAAGTGCAAGTGAGTGCTCAAAAGTATTGTACTGTTCAGCAACTGATATCAAATTATGCTTTACAACAGGTCCATGTCCTTTCGAGAAGAGCCAAGCCACTGCCAAGCCTTCTTGCACACCTTGCTTTGCAGCTCGTCCTTGCGGATCTCCGGGATATCGCTCCTGGAGGATCTCTGGAACATCGACCACCATGCTCGGATCAAGTGCCATGTTCCCAATGATGCTGCAAAACACCTGTGACGAAGTCCGCTCTTGGAGTGTTTGCTCCTTTCCAAGCTCCCACACCATCGCCCCTCTTCCATTCCTCCGGAGTTGCGCCAGGTTCATTCAAGTCATGAATGGCAATCGAAACCGGGGAGTACAAACAGAACAACCATCATCCATGGCCAATGGCCGACCGAGCACCTAGAGACCTGATGTGACCAAGATTGTGCGACTTATTCTCTTTAGTCATATGATTCGCTATGTCCACTGCCACCTTGGAGCCTGGCCATTTAACACGGAGGGGCTTTACAGTTACAGGCCTGGCTATCGAAGAACTTCAGACCCGTCAAATCGGAAGTAACAAACAATGTTATGTCCGTGTGAGCGACCCAAATGCAGCCATAATATGCATTTTCAACCAAGGCTCCAGCCAGCCCAACTATCTACCACCCTTGTCTCGGGGGGTCCTTTTTCACTTCCAAAGAACATGCAAAACTCCTTTCGACAACGTGGGGTGTCCTGCTGGGTGCATAGGCCAGAACCCCGAAGGGTCGCGCTTGGAAGGTGGCTGAGATTGACGGCCCCGCAGCAGCAGCCGCATCAAAGCGAAGCTCAGGGATTTTACCTCGGGACGAGTGTCGTGCGAGGTGAGGAAAGAGGAGAAAGTGTGTTTTCTTAGTATCATAGAGTCATAATACAATTACGTACAGTACTTATCAATTATAGCTGATAACTCATAACTGTTAATATGAATATGCTTTCATGGGTTTTGGAAGTGATCCCCCCCAATCAACCTCTGCCAGCTCACGCCCTTCACTATCTCGCAGTCCCCGTCGTCGAAGCCGGCATGCCGCTGGAACCGCGGCTCCGGCGGCCAAGGCCGCAGGCGTCCTGAAGGCGCGGTCGATGCTCTCTGTGAGGACCAAAGGATCCCAAAGGCTTTAAGGCACGGTAGGCTGAAAGGAAAACACATTTGCAGGAAGAAGGCCAAACTCTGTTTTGTAGACGGTGAGCATGGGCGAGCGGTTAGCCATACTGGGGTATGTCAATCTGTGTTGAAATGATGTTTTTCTCTTCAATCAGTATGTTTGACCTGCACATGCAGTCCTGAGAGAAGTGCCAAACGATCTTGGAATCTGCTTGCGAATCCTGCACTCGATGCTGCAAAGCGTTCTTCTAGTCTTGCAACATGCTGGGACATATGATGCGACAAACATGGCCAAAGAAGGCTTTAAGGAGATCGGTATCTATCGACATTCATTGCGGCTTGGATCAAGCAAAAAGCCTTGAGTATGGTATCTCCAGCCGATGAATTCCTCCCAGTCAGCACAGCAAAAGAGTTTTGTCCACTAAACGGATGTCGGGAGAAAGCTGGGAAAAAGTGTGCAACACATACATGTGCACCTAGTGGTGCCAGACATGTAAAACATACAACTTGCTTAAAAATAAAAACAAGGACTCAACAGTTTAGACGGTTCATTCTCCAACGCAACATTCCCCGGTTTCGCTAAAAGGTGGCACGTCAAAGCTCAGTCCAGCCTCTGGCATGATGGTCTTGAAGTGCGACCTCAAAAAGCACTCAAATGGAGACTGAACATGGCCCGACGTGGCCAGCGTCTTACACCGTCTTACAGTCAGTTCTCTGTTTCGTTTTGGGTGGCATTCACTAGTACAAAGGAGAAGATCCGTACATCGTGCCAGTCGCTAGAAAGATGGTGCCAGGGTTCAATCACTCTGATCCTCCCAACCCAAGTGGCTTGCTGTGATGGGCATGTCGCTGCAGAACTTCATCGCTCAAGGGTATATGGAACCGGAAAGCAACCCCAGCGTGCTATCCGCTGGTTTCCACCAGCATCTTGTGATGTTCTTTTTGTCCAAATGGGATTGCCAAACAGGCCTCAGCCTCCTACCTTCCCAACCGAAGAACCACTAGAATTTGCAAGAATTGACATTCCTGCCGCAAAATTAACACTCACCAGGAAAGGCAAAGAGCACTTCGGCAACTAACACGTCATCACACGCACTTCATCACACGTAATCCATGGTTTTACCAACCACAAGTCATCGCTTCGATGGGCCTCGTTTGGTCAAACACTAAAGCAACGAGTTCAGTTCCAGCCATCGTTATTCTAATAAAGAACACAATACAGTAAAAGTATAGTTGGGATGTCCTCCCGTTGTGACAAACATGTCCCAGCAATCTTGGATCAAGCAGCTCCCAAGAGCGGATGCCTGCAGCCGACAACAGAGCACTGTTGACATTACAAAACACAACCTCAAAAATGGGTCGAGCAACTCAAGATCCCTCGCTCCGAAGCATCACCAAGTTGGGAGAGATTGAATGCAGGAGCCCATCTCGGCCACATTGTACCCAGCTGAAGAGCATGCAAGGAGTGTTTTGATGGTCGGTGGGGGGTCTCTTCAAGAATCAACCCCTCTTCCAGGTGCAAGTGGAAAGCTTGGAACTTGTCTTCGGCGACCGAGAAATGATCTGAACGCTCCTCGAGTTGGAAGGGTCCAGTAGGACCTACAGTAGATATACCTAGATGGAACTTCCATTCTTGGAAACAAGAGCACTAAACCTTGCCAACTGAAATGTCTGGAATGTCGGCCCTCGCCAACTCCATCCAACTTCCAAAAGGATCCAATCAACAAGTCCAGCAGCTCACATCCGACAGCTCACGGGCTATCTTACTTGCTTGAGGTTGGGGCCAGTGTTGAATTCTATCCTTTATGATTGTCATAAACGAACCAGCTATGCATTTTTGCAAGAAAGTGGAGGATCCAAAACTTTTGGACATTGAAAACTCGATGTAGCACTCGGGAGAAATCCTCCTTGGGGATGCGCAAATCTGTAGGAAGTCACCCACCCATGCCCTCTATCTTCGCCCTTGCCTGGGACACCGATGGCCAAATCTCCATGGTTCTCCGAGGGACAGCTGAATAGGATTTGGCTTTTGGTGGTCTCAAGCTGCTTTCACTGACTGAAACGAGTCAGGCATCTGATTCTTTGTTGGTTGTGGTCCAAACCTGTGAGTGATGTAGGAATGAATGCTGCTTGGGAATCGATGAGGCGTACAACGCTTCAAATTCAGCAGCCCGTGGGCAGAAACAGATTTATCATGATGTATTACAGTATCGATTCAAATCTGCCAATCACCCGAACAATGTGTTTGTGCCCTTCTTAAGATCTTGGTGTTCGCGTGCTCTGGGCTGGCTTGAGCATGGGGTTCAATGGCAGACACAGAAACGGATCGTCAACCTGTCAGTGATGCTTCAACCTGGCACCCCATGTTGGACAAACAAAATCAGAACAAACTGTAAACTATAACTATTATCACACAACATCTTCTCACATGGTATTTTGGATCTCCCAATGGCCCAAGCTATTCTTTTTGGAGGAATCAATTGCGATGCAAGTCGTCTCCTGTTTTGACTGTCACAACCCATTCAGGCCATCCAGTGATCACTATGTCGCCTCCTCATGGCGGCTTGGCCTTGCTTCCCTGCGCGGGCGTCAGTGTGTGTTTTATCACGTAGCACCTTTTCATGCCCTTTGCTTTCAGCTTTCTCGGTGGTTTTGATGCCATGATGTGCTGTGTTGAAAACCTGACGTGATGCCAGTTTCTTAGAATTCCATACCAAGTTTGAGTGAAGAGAACGTGTTCGAAAGAGGGACTTCGAAAAAGGACACTGACACACTATGCCAGCAACCTAAACCATTGGTGCTTTGGCGCCTTCCCTCAAACAACTTGAAAAAACCTCCACGCAAGACGCAACACCCCTGGAGGCGTGAAGGGGCCCACCGTGCACACAACCACCATCCAACATCTGTTTCTGGAGCAGCGCAGCCAACAACTTTTCTCAAGGGCAAGGTCCGGTAAACGAGCCCTGCATGCCAAAAGCAAGTTGCTTCGTGCTGCCACCCCCTCTTCAAGGAATCCCAACCCCTTTTATACAGCTGAGTCTTCAGGCTCTTCTGGCAGGGTTGCAGGAGCTGGGGCTGCCTCAGCGGACTAGGAAGGTGCAGCTGTGTCTTGAAAAAAATCGACACCTGACAAAAGCCAAGTACACAAGAAAATCAAGAAACAAGCAACACTGGGAAAAAGGCATGCATGCATCCAAGCAATTCCAACATCTGACAGGTGATTGTTTCATCCAACCCATCCCTTGAGCTCCCAACCCGCTGAGCCTGCATTCAACGTCATAACTCGGTGAAGTCATAACATTGATCATCGTCCAGGTCGATGTTTCTGCTTGGTGAAACGATTTCTGGTTGATATCACCACCATCCTGATGCAATCCGTTTCTGGTTGGTGATATCTCAATCATTGGGAATTAGGACTAGTTGAAGCACCAATCAAGTTTGCTATGATCTTCGGCATCCCCGGCCTCCCACCAGGCCCCTGCTGGGCGTTCACCTTGGCAACCGGTACATGGACAAAAAAGAACATCACTTGAATTCGAGTGATGCCCACCCTAAAAGGCAATTTGGAAGAAGGCAGGGCACAGATAGCGTGGTCTGACTAGAGTCAAGAACATCAAGATAGTGAACAAGCGTTCTCAGCGATCGGGCTAGAATTCCAGAGATGACCATCGCCATCGCAATTGAATGATGAAACTAGTGGTGAGTCATGGTGAGTCTGTTCATGGCCTTTGGGTCTCCCAATCACATCCAAGGTGGTGAATTGGTGAATTGATGTTGATCTCCCGCCACCAGGCTCCGCACTCCACGCATCTCCATGAGCAGCCTGGATTTGAAGGGTTCCAACGGGTCGTTGGATGTTGTGGTAGACGCAATGTGCTGCAGTGACATCATCCCATCGTTTCTCATACCTTCAAAGGAAGAAATGTATGGGGAACTTTAGATCTTCATATCAGCTACTTACAACCTTTATAACTTTATATATATCCTGTTAGATCCCAGCAAGAACGTCATCTCAGCTCAAGCCTTCTCAATACGTCTCAACGTCCCTTGCTGATTTGTTCAGACTCATTCACCTCTAAGGATCCGCACAGCCACATTGGGCGGCTGGTGTGGCCTCGGGATCGGGCTTCAAGCAAGGCACGACTCTTTAGGTTCT